CCAAGTCCAAATCGGGATTTCTCATGAAAATCGTGGCAGAGAATTTTTTTCGATCATCCCAAGTGGAAGAAGAAACATTCTCATCGGAATTTGGTATGGCATTAAGGGTTAGGGTACAATATTTGGGATCATTCGTACTTTTCTTTGATGAACATTATTTTATCGAATTAATCAGATTGCCTGTTTATTACTCTTCGAATTCGTAATTATTCACACAAAATGCTATTACCCTGAGATGCAATTGCCAATACATATCATATGTAGTCGCGAAGGGCGGAGTATAAATACTTTCGTTAGAATGAATCATGGAGGCTGGAATGTCAAAGGAAATAGTAGTCTTAATTCTTGCTTTCTCGGTCATTATTGATATAGGAGAGAAAAAGATTAGGCAGTGAACAACACAAAAATTACAGGATCTTATAATGACGCGTAAGGGATCTACAAACATTTGGATAATCCATAATTTGTTTAGATATACACAATGTACATACTGTATATATACAGGGTGTTGCAAAAAAATCTGCAAAAAAAATTTTTATAATTAAAATTTTTATAATTATTAAATAAATATTTATTTAAAAAATTTTTTTAATTTATATTTTAAAGGATATAAATTTATTAATTAAAAATTTATTTAATTTATTATCTTGTTCTTTTATTTTACTTTTTAAAATCTTTTATTTAAAAAGCAAAATCTATATAAATATTTATATACAGTATATTACTTTTTTTTAAACAGAAATTAAATAGAAACTAAAAAGTATAATATAAAATTTTTATTAAAAATTAAAATATCAAATTAAATTATAAATTAATTAATAAAGTAGTTCTAAATAAAAATATTCTATAAATGTTAATTTAATTATATTTAAATTTATTTATTTTTTTAAAATAATTTTTGTTAAGTTACAAATAAAAATATAATTGTTAATTTTTTTGCAACACCTTGTATTCAAATATATATCTAATGTTTTCAATTCTAAGTTTATATCTTAAACAAAAGTGGTTTGAGTATTGCTTTGAATAAAATTAATTAAGAAAAACTTGTATTGAAAGTGTTTTTAAGAAAAGTTTAATTCTAAAAGATATTAAGTTACTATAAAAAGTATTTCATAGGCTTTTAATTTGCTTGATTAATTTAATAAAGATTTTCATTTCAATCCATATAAATTTAAAGTTTCTTAAAAAGTTTTGAGCATAAAAAAGCTTTTACAAATTATATATTATAGATCTTGATAATTCTTAAGATTTCTTGAATCATATGACACTACTGTTCAAATTGATATTGTTTATTTTAGAATTTTTAATAAAATAAGGTAAAAAAGTATTTCAATATATAATTTTATTTATTATTGATTTGGATTTGGGCCTAACTAGTTGAATATATACTGATTTATAAGTACTCAAGTTAATAAAATAATTCTTGAAATAATAAATATATAATTTGGTTTTATTATTCTTCTTAAATTGTTAAAAATTTGTTAAAAAATGTCTTAATTATTTCTAATTTGAATTATTAATAAAACTGAATACCATTTGAAAATATTATAAGTTATCAAAAGAATATTAACTATAATTATACTTGAAATAAACAAAATAATTTTAGTTTTATTAATAATAATATTATTATTAAGAGTTTAAATAAAAAAAAATAAGAAAAAAACTCTTTTCCATTCCCTTTTCTATGCTTAAAAAAATTTTTTTTAGAAAACTTTTAAGTTGTTTACTTTTTTTTATTCTTTCCTTTTTCTTTTCACTTTTTCTTTCCTATATTCTTTTCTTTTTTTCCTTTCTACAAACTTTTTTTTACATATTCTCCTTTTCCCCTTTCTTTTTTTCTTCCCTACTAAAATAAGATTTTTTCTTTTTTATAAAGATTTTTTCTTTTTAGGTCTCTCTTTTCTTTTAATATATTATCTCTTATTTTATTACTTCTCTGGTCAGTAAACTTCCTTCTCTCAGAAACTATATAAGAAGTGACAAAATTTTCATAAGACATGAGCTCTGGAAATTTTTTTTCTTCCATGACTTTTCAAAAAAAGAACAGATAGTTTATTTCTTCCAAAAAATCAACATAGTCATCATTATCTAATTCAATATTGTTTATTTTTATTTTTATTTTTTTTTCAGATAAAGATGCTCAATGCATATGTGTTTTTATTAAGTTGTTTATATCCAATTACATATACATTTTAGATTCATTTAAGTTAACCTCGCTTCTAAACCTATAGACTTATCCAATGTATCAATTGACATTACAAGGGTGAATCCACATCTTGGGGGAATTATTATTATTATTAGAAGATAGCAGCTATCTAACCTAATTTGAATCCTGTCTCAACTGTATCTATTATAGAAGAAGTGCAATTATTACTTTTCAGAAATTAGTAGAACACCCAGATATCCTAATACTTTTTGTCCAGAACCTCAAAAAATGTAAATCACTTATTGTTACTACCTGCGGCTTCAGGTTATACCAAGTATTTATTTGAGATATAACTCTTTTTTAAGCAAGTGCCAGATTGGGATGGCCTCAAGCTAAGATATTCTTTTTGCATTACGGAGTCTGCCATATCAGCTTTGAATTAGTGGGCTTGTATGAGAGCTAGACCAAAAGCCTTTCCTTGTATAACCTTTTCTGCTTCGACCTGTTTTCAGCCTGTGATTATCAGAAAGACCAAAGATCATATCTTTATACAACCTAGCTTGTTTTGATAAGGGATTTGCAACTAATTGGGTACAACATATGTTGAAAGCCAATTAACCAACCATGAAGGTGATAAATTTTTGTAACCAGGTGGGTTTGAACCCTAGGCCTTCCTCTAGTAATCTATGAAGCATTACTACTATGCTATGAACCTATAGATTAATTTAATATTGTTTATTTATTAATGATTAAACTAGATATATCTAAAAAATCTATATACAATTATTATTATCCAAAAGTATCCAAGAAGTTATACCCTATAGTATCTAGAACAATATAACAGCCAATGTCAATATAATTAACAATAAGCTAATTTAGTTTGCAAATGTTATACTAGTAATTGAAAAATTTAATAAAATAATATATGAAGATTAGAAATTCTAATTACTCCTGCAACATGAGCTAGTAATAACAATAAAAGTTCTTTATTTACTCTTTGACAATATAGGTCTCATTATATAAGATTAAATATTAGCATCTTTAAGAAATCCCAAAACAAAACTCCATTCATGAAACACTTTCATTATACTTGAAAAATGGATATATCAAATTCTTCTTATAACTTGAAAGCAAACCTATATAAAGTGACTATAGCACCTTTATGTAAAAAGGAATTGTAACTCAATCACTTTCAATACTACTTTGTCTGCTGAATATCAAACCATATTTATAAAACAAGTATGCCAATTCTACTTATAACTTGGAGGCAAACTTATATAAAGTGCTGCAATACCTTTATGTAATTAAGCATTCAAATTAATTTTTAGTTAACTAAATACTATTCAAAATTATAATATAGGTTTTAAATTTATTTTTATTATATTTCTTAAGTGGTGTCAAGAAGCTAAGAAGTGTAACCCTTCTGTAGACCTTACATTTAATTTTTCCTAGCAAAAAGAAATATATATTATATTAATTATATTATAAATCTTGTAATTACAAGTCTAAAATTATAATAATAAAATAAAGTATGATAACCATTTGCTCCTTCAAAAAAATAAAAAATAAAAAAAAATAATTAATATTAAAAAATTGAAAAGAAAAAAAAAGATTTAATAAAAGGTTTATATCTTATAGAGTTTTTTCTTGGAATTAAGAAATATTGAGAGTTTCTTTAATTAGATTATTGAGATGAAATTTTGCTTAAAAAGAATTTTAAATAAATATTTATAAGAATATTATAGATATAGTTGTAAAAATAATAAAACAGAAAAAGACTCTCCTGATCACATCCATTTTGTTAAAAATTTTCCTTTTATGGTAATTTTAAGCAAGAAAAAATGTTTTACTTTCTTTATCACAAGTGAGTCTCAGCTCAGGAACTCAAGAATGTTCAAGACAACTGGTACAGTGGGATGGGACCTCTGGTCAAAATCTATTCAAGTTTGGGAGTCTTGCTTATCTTTCAGTTACATGAAGAAAGACACATGGCAGTTCTCTTTTCTTCAATTCTCTTGCACCCCTCCTTATCCTTATTATATTATAAAAATTATCCACATCATTACCATTATACTTGCTAAACCAAATACTTTCCAAAACACACACTCAAACAGAGTTAGTAGGTCTACTGTTTGTTTCAAATCAACTCTCATATACAATATTCTCATAGCAATATTTGCTATGCTATTTTCATCCTTCAAAAATTTTTTACTCAAAAAACCAAAATCCGTTTACCCTCTTCAGATGATCAGCACTTTTCAATCATCCAATTAAATTTCATCTAATGATCAAAACAAAAACCAAACCACAACAACGATCATAACAACAATAACAAATAACTTACCACTAACAACTATAATAACAAACAACATCATATATACTCTATTATCTATAGCACGTAGGAGCTGGAGAGTTGGGATCACGAGCCCACCAAGGAGTTCTTTCATTCAACACATAGATTATATAGTATATTTGATTTAGTTCTAGTTATAGTCAATTTTATTTTTTTTTTCAATTTTTTATATTTAAAAAATCAAAAGAATTCCCAAAATTTCCTGGGATAGTAAATATAGCTGCTACTCAGCCTTATATAGCACATTAATATAGATTTTGAATTTTTTTACATTATTAGTTAGATATTGATAAGTAGGCAAGCTAGCATTTAACTTTCTTGAAATAATGAAAGAGATGTTGTTTCTTTCAACAATATATACCTTGTTATATACAAATCAAAATAAAGAAATAATATTTATTTACTGAAGAAACCCCTCCAAAAAAAATAATAATAATAAGACAGAAATTCTCAGCTGGGTAGTAGCATCAAATGGTATAAAAAAATTCTCAGCATTATCAAAACATATATAATAGCGGAAAGCTCATCAGTACTAAAAACATTCGACTTCTTCTACAGTTTTCAAGGTATCAAAATTATTAACAAATTTAACAAAAACTTGAAAAATACACAAAACAACAAATACAGTGACCTAATTGCCTTTTATATCAAGCTCTTGTCAAGAACTCTTCCCATACAAAAAAATCTCCATTAACAATATTCAGACCAATATCCAAATCCTTACTGTTTATGTTGTAAACTCCACACTAAAAATATATAACATGTATTTAAATATCCAATAGTTTCAAAAAAAACCAATCAAATTATTAACCAAACCAACCTTATTCTTTACCCAACAGTGACTCAAAACCGATAACCCATA